CTCTTCTATGGTGAGCTGTCTCAAGGAAAGCGATCGCACGGGGGACAAAAGAAGCGATACAAAGACACGCTGAAAGCATCTCTCAAGTCCCTGGATATCGACACCATCTCTTGGGAATTTTTGGCGCATGATCGACCGACATGGCGTACCCTGGTTTACCAGGGGTGCCAGACATATGAACACAGGAGGACAATCTTGGTACAAGAGAAGCGAGCACTCCGTAAAGCCAGAGCTGCAAATGCTGAAGCAACAGTGTCCACATTTCTCTGTTCAGTATGTGGCAGAACATTCCGTGCTAACATCGGTCTAATCAGCCATCTACGGACACATCGTTGATGGCCCACAATCCACAAGATGTCAAGGTCTTCATCGAAATCGATGGACGAATAACAATGAGTTCCAGTTATGAAACTCATGGCCATGATAAATACATACAGTTTCCATTTTGCCTGTTAGTATCACAAGATGAGAAAACAAAACAGTGGAAATTGAGGTGTGGTTCCTTTGCTTATACCTCTCATTTCCTTTGTAAATTACAAAACATGTGGTTGACTTCTTATAGCTAACTTATCACAGCAAAGGGTATACATATTTTTGAATAATAATAATAAAGTTGGAAGGGACCTTGGAGGTCATCTAGTCCAACCCCCTGCTCAGGCAGTAAACCCTATACCATTTCAGACAAATGGCTGTCCAGTCTCTTCTTAAAAACTTCCAGTGTTGGAGCATTCACAGCTTCTGGAGGCAGGTTGTTCCACTGATTAATTGTTCTAACTGTCAGGAAATTTCTCCTTAGTTCTAGGTTGCTTCTCTCTTGGTTAGTTTCCATCCGTTGCTTCTTGTCTTCCCTTCAGGTGCTTTGGAGAATAGCTTGACTCCCTCTTCTTTGTGGCAACTCCTGAGATATTGGAACACTGCTATCATGTCACCCCCTCATCCTTCTCTTCATTAAACTAGACATACCCAATTCCAGCAACCGTTCCTTATATGTTTTATCCTCCAGTCCCCTAATCATCTTTGTTGATAGCTGCTTTCAAAGTCATATTTGGTAGAAAGATTTTTTCATACTTTTGTAATAATGCATATTCCATCTCTTCTAATCAGAGATGTCCCCATAATAGCTTTCAAAATAAAATCTGATAAAAATAAGATCATAAAATTAAATTTAAAAAATGCAACAAGATACAAAAGCATGTGATAAAGAGGTTTTTTGTTTTTGTTTAAGTTTGGGTAGAATATGATAAACATTTGCAAGGACATTGCGGCATGAATTTATTCGTAGGATTTTAGCAAAAATCTTTCAAAAAATTAAGAGAGATATCAGCAAAATAGCACAAGATCTGAAAAATAAATGTAGTTTTGTGCTACTTGGCATCCCTAAATATGCAGAGAGAGAGTGGATGGTGGTTTCTACTACCACATGAATCAAGGAATATCTCCTCTTATTGCTAAATCCTTGGCTCACTTGAAGAGTTCATGTAAGGGCCCAGGTTCCCTTCCTGGAATTTCCAGAAAAGTTTGGGAAACAGACTTATTTCAAATTCTAAATAACTGTTGTAAGTTATTGTAGAGGCAATATTGAATGAGACTTGTGAATAGTTTATGTATAAAGGCACTTCTTATGCCTCTTTCAGCAGGAATGGTAAGAATGGTTAATTGTAGTTACCATGTTCCAAGAATAAATCTTCATAGTGTGCACATTGACTGTGACACATCCTTACAGGTATATTGCATACAGTTAACCAAATGGGCTATACTGGTAGTCCTCAACTTATGACTTGTTGCTTAATGACCATTCAGAGTTATGATGGCCACGGAAAGGGTGTTTTACAATCCATAAAGCACTTCTGGCCATTGTAAAATGTGCCCTCCCCCAATGGTCACATGACCATATTTCAGGCACTTGGCAATTGGCTCACATTTACAACTGGTAGCAGCATCCCATGGTCATGTGACCGTGATTTGCAATGCTTTTTGCTGATTTCCAGCACTATTTCGGGAAAAAACGCCCATGCAGGAGAATGGGTTTGCACTTATGATCACATGATTCCCTTAAAATCGGGTCCGGCCATGGGGGCGTCTGAACTTATGACCATCATGACTTCAAACTGAAATTCCTATCCCAGTTGTGGTTGTAAGTCAAGGACTACCTGAAAATATTTTCTACATGTAAGCAAATCCTGGACAGAGCTGAAGTGCAATGATATCCTACAGCCTTTACCCACCTTGCTACCTTCCAGTTGTTGACAGCAACTTCCATAATCAGCAAGAACTTTGGGAGATGTATCCCAACACAAATGTAAAATATCAAGTTGGATGAAGCTGATATGTAGCTACTTACTTTTAAGACTCATTGATCTTACAGACTCTTATTTCTGAGTAGACATGGATAAAACTGCATTCTGAAATAATATGTTGAACTGAGTACCCTGGAAGATATTTGCTATCAGATCTGAGTTGGAAACATATAACCCCTAAGAAATAATCTAAGCTACTGGACCTGTCGGGTTCTTGGTGGATTGTGATGGATATATGCTGATAGTAATTAGGTAATATCTAATGTTTTATTAGTATTTGATGCAAAAATAAAAAAGAATTCAGAAAGAACAAAAATTTGATTTCAAATCTAGAACTTCAGTTATTGCCCAAATGTCCTATTCATATTGTCTCCTACATTAACTAAATTTGTAAAATTAATTCCTTGAAGAGAAAACAAAGGCATTTGATGGTGCTGAGCAAAATATCTTTTACATGTGTGTGTTTATATAATCATTTGATTTTCCAGATACTGGCATAGATCACTGAATCCCAGAAAATTGGTAGAGGTGAAATTCTCTCACTTGAGCAGAAATATGACGTTACAGAGAACAATGAAGTTCCACAGACTTCCTGATGTAAGCAATGCTTCCACCCAGAAGACCCTCATTCTCATTTCAAAATAGCCTTCTGTACATGCCAAGGCAAGCTTTTCATTTGGGGGAGCCAGTACAATGGTTGTGGGGCAGAGCTTCCAAAGAATAGACTTTCCTGGAAAGATTACTTGCATATATTGTCACACCTGGCAGCATTAGACATTTTTTGTGAAGGCATGGATTGGTTGGAGGAAAAGGACCATTTTCTTGATTATATGACACTTGAGAAATTGAGATTTGTGTCCTTATTTGAATATACTAATTTTTTTCAGCTCTAAAATCTTGAGAAGGCATATTGTAATTACAGGTAGTCCTCAAGTTATGACCACAATTGAGTTCAAAAGTTATGTTGTTAAATGAGAAATTTGTTAAGTGAGTTTGTCCCATTTTACAACTTTTCTTGCCACATTTGTTAAGTCAATCACTGCAATTGTTAAGTTAGTAACACGGTTGTTAAGTGAATCTGGCTTCCCCATAGACTTTGCTTGTCAGAAGGTCACAAAAGGGGACTACATGACCTTGGGACACTGCAACCATCATAAATATAAACCAGTTGTCAAGCATCCAAATGTAAATCACATGACCCTGGGGATGCTGCAGCGGTCATAAGTTTGAAAAATGGTCATAAGTCACTTTTTTCAGTGCCATTGTAACTTTGAACAGTCACTAAACTAACTGTTGTAAGTCAAGGACGACCTGTATCTCTCTTCTGCCAATGGAAAGTACTTCGTACTAATGGTAAAGTCTAAGGTAAAGTATGATATGGTTGAATTCTCTTAGTTTATTGAAGTTTCAGAGGAATTCCTTTGATAAACACACATGCATGCATGCACACACACACAGAGACCAGTTTATTTATAATGTGACCATTGATTATTCTCTTTACTCTTTAATAATTGTTGGGAAGAACAGAAGGGAGTATGTGCAAAGCATTAATCAAAACAACTGGTTTTGTACCAGTTGAGTATGTGTACTCAGTTCCCAGAAATGCTGGCTGAGAAATTTTGGGAACTATAACCCCAATTCATCTTGATTGTTGCCTTTGGCTGAATACTATCCTGTTGATGGAAGCCTAGATGGGGTATTAGCTCTTCTTTGAATTTCTGTCGTCTTTCATTATAACAAGGCCACAAAAACTTCAGGCTTGAGACCTATGGAACGAAAAGATATCAAAGCGGTGCAAGAGCTGATTAACAATTACTTGAAGCAGTTCAATCTCGCTCCTGTTATGGATGAGGAAGAAGTGGCTCACTGGTTCCTGCCTCAGGATCACATTATTGACACCTTTGTGGTCGAGGTGAGAAAGTGGCCCTTCCCTGCTTCCTTTTCCTACTGGTGCCTTTTCCATCTAGAAATCCCTGGCCTTTACTGGGCTGTTTTGTTTCTAACTGGTGAGGTTTCTGTGCTTGAAAGGAGGGCTAAAATATATAAATTAATGCTGGGCCAAAATCTGCTTTGTAATTTCTCAAAAATGTTCTTCCTCGCACCCAGAGGCTTGTGTTTTTCTACCTTAATCTATTTCTTTTAAGTTCCTCTTGGAGGTGTTCCTGAGACTTTTTTTATTGTTGGTATTATGTTGTTGGAGGCATTGCAGTTTGCAGTTACACAGCTTGTTTCCACTCTGATGCCCATAATCCCCTCACACTGGGATGGGAGAGTGCATAAAACAAATATTTGTCACTGAAGAAATTGGGCATCTGTCCAAATGTCAGAAGGGTACCCAGGGTCAGAAAGATCTGGGTTAAACTCAAACTGGATGGATTCAGGCTCCAGTCTTTGCTCTACCTCACCAGTTTACACAGAATTATTGTAACCTATACTTTTGCAAAGCAACCAGGTGACTTAAGAGTTTATGATGCTGTAGAGTCCTTTGTTTCTATTCCTTTTTCTTTTCTTCCCCAGAGTTCAAATGGTGTTTTAACCGACTTTCTGAGTTTCTATACATTACCTTCAACAGTCATGCACCACCCTGTTCACAAAAGCCTGAAAGCAGCCTATTCCTTCTACAGTGTTCATACTGAGACCCCTCTCTTGGATCTAATGAATGATGCACTCATTATAGCAAAGATGGTAAGTAGTGCAATAGTTCCTTTATTTTCCTTTTCTTACAGAAGAGTGAAGTTGGATAAAAGTCTCTCATTGATGTACTTGCTTCAGCAAGAGAAGTATAATCTCTGAACAATTTTGGATAATGTTTTCTTTGCACATTGGAACTTGTGTTTCAGCCTGGTCCTTCATATGAAGGTGTTAAGAGGCACAGCCTCTGCTTACTCAAAACCCCTGTGCTTGCCTTACAGCACCAGATGACTTTGAGGTTATACTTAGCAGTTCTAAATCAAAACTTCATAGCTGGGCTTGTTACAAGTGAAAAGTCATTGTTAAATATGACTTCTGTGATCTACTGTAGGAACACAGACAAAAAAAGATTTTTGTTGTGTATGCATTGTTTGCATTACACAAGGGTTACTAAAACTGTTAAGATTTTCAGGTACTAAGTTGTAAACATACAGAGTACTATGTTGGTTTGGTTGGCATTTTTGAGCTTTAGTGTGTATGCAGTTTCAATTTACAGTATATGCCCTTGGATTGTGCTGATGTTGAGTGTGCTGGGTAAACTCACTGCTAAAAATGCAAAAACTTTCTGGTTTATTGAGTTTGCTGTCTGGCAGACATAGCAGTAATAGTGTATTTTTCAAGAGGCAACTGGACTTACTTGTTTTTCTTTGAAGACGTTTTGCTTCTCATCCAAGAAGCTTCTTCAGCTCTGACTGGATGGTGGGGAATGGAAGGATTTATATTCCTTGCAGACAGCTGGTCATTTGCATTTTTGGAGAGTCGTTGAGGCCACTTGGAGGTTTGTCTGTGTCCTCAGGGTCACCTGAGTAGTGCAAATGGGTGTGGAGCCTTCTTGGAACTGCTGAAAGGACTGTGTTGTGGAGCTGTGCTTTCTGCAGGATGTTTTCTGCCCTGTATCCCTTCACTGTTGAACACAGGCACAGGCTGTTGGGGATGAGTCTTTGCTGTCTGCATCTCAAACTGAAGCGCAAATGGTTCCTGTAGTCTGCATTTTTTCTGGAAATCCATTCATACTCCTGTACCCTTTGAATGGTGCAGGAGCATGAACAGATTTCCAGAAAAATTGTAGACTACAGGAACCATTTGCGTTTCAGTTTGAGATGCAGACAACACAGACTCATCCCCAACAGCCTGCGCCTATGTTCAACAGTGAAGGGACACAGGTGACCCTGAGGACACAGACAAACCAGCAAGTGGCCTCAACAACTCTCTAAAACAATGCAAATGACCAGCTGTCTGCAAGGAACATAAATCCTTCCATTCCCCACCATCCAGTCAGAGCTGAAGAAGCTTCTTGGACGAGAAGCAAAACGTCTTCAAAGAAGAACAAGAAAGTCCAGTTGCCTCTTGAAAAAGCTCCTTTGGGACAACCATGACCTGGATGACTGAGAATCTCCATAGACATTTAGTATTAGTGTAATGTTTGGAATGTTCCTGGTTGTTTGTAGTAGTTAATTAACATTACTCATGCAGCTGGTTCAGCTTATTTTCCTTTCAAAGTTATACCTATTACAAACAAGCAGACATCCAGTCAAAGAAAACATGCTAAATTGGCTGCTTTCATTCCTTGCTATGGCATGTGAGAGGAAGATCTTTTCCTTTTTTAAAAAAGGCATCCTCTCAACTAATTTTTCCATAGGTTACCAGAATTAGCACCACAACTAATATTGTGGCCTACCGTTAAAAAAAAACCCTGGAGCATTCAAAATCTTTTAAAAAGAGAATATTTGTAGCTCAGGGTTGAAATGACGGGTCCTTGGTCTTCTCTGAGCTTGACTGTTTTCTTGCAGAAGTTTCATTACCCAAACTAGGTATCATCATAACTTGGGTAATGAAACGTCTGCAAGAAAACAACCAAGCTCAGAGAGCATCAAGGACCCCTCAAAATCGTTTGTTCCATATGCATACATGATTCAAAGTAAGCTTGGGTATAATTTCACTTCTGGCTGTATATTGTATGCATGTTAAGGTATTATGTTAATTATAACTAGAATTCTAGGAGGAAGGACATGGCTTGTTGTGCTCAAAACAATTTGTAATATAGTTAATTGTAGGAGAGGTACGTAAATAAAATATTTTACCAACCTTGATGTAAATCCAATTAGAAAATCAATTTATAATCTCTTTATGTTGTCAGAAAGGGTTTGATGTGTTCAATGCACTAGACCTGATGGAAAACAAAACATTCCTGGAAAAACTGAAATTTGGTATTGGAGATGGCAATCTGCAGTATTATTTGTATAACTGGAGATGTCCTGGTATGGATTCTGAAAAGGTAACATTTATACCAGAGATTTATACCAGAGATTTGATTGTCTTTTTACTAAGTGTCTGGGTATAATAGTAGTAATTAATACTTCTGGAAGGTATCAATATAGAAAAGGCTGACATACAGTAATTTCCTTTACACAGATTCTCTGTATCTTTATTTAATGGTATGAAATATACCAAGGAGCTCCTCCAATACAAGTGTTTGTGTGTGTGTGCCTGCCTTCCCTCTATATTTGGGGTTCCCCATGCAGTGCCTGTGGATGCTAATGTTAGTAAAGCTCCCTTGATGGACTCTACAACAGTGGGAAACTAGCATTCTGCAAAACACTACCCTCCAGCATTACCTTTGATTTCAAAAATGCCTCTGGGCCTCCTAAGTAGGCATGGGCTCACTGCACATAGCTCCCCCCAAACTGGAGGTGGAAGTGAGAGTCTGATGTGTGTGTGTGTTCACAGGTAGAGAATGTGATGGTATTTTGTGACTGGCCATGCCCATATTTGACAAATAGGCAGGATTCATCTCCCTGTGGCAATACTTGTGACAGTCCTTACAGTTTTTTTCCTAAAACTCCAAGTGCCCCACCATTGTCTAAGCATGAGGGACTTTGTTTTTATCTGCAGTAACATCCATGTTATCATCTTTCTAGGTTGGTCTTGTATTACAATAAGGTGAAAGGACACTTATAGTTCTTGGAAGTCATCATCTGGGCTGTTGGATGATCATACAATTCAAGAGGAGCCAAAGTACAATCCCTGATGAACTTAAATCAATCAGTCAAACTTTGGGGGAAGGGACTACAAGAAGAGGTGAAGATTTCTGAACTCAACCAGCCCTTCAACTCTGAATGGGAACAAAAACACTTATGATTCTTTTACTGTTTGTCAATGAAAAAAAAATAAAGCACATTTAATTTTCAATGCTTAGCTCTTGGTGAAAAGGGTTCTTTTCTCTGTTTCCCTGCATAAAAATAAAAAAGACTTTGTACAGCAATGCAGTTGCAGTGGGTGGAATAGAGTACAAATACTTTAATGTGACTGAACTGCATTTTTATTTATGAAGTAGTGTATGATTATCAATGTAACAAAATGAAGGAGACAGTTTTGAGTATTTCTGCTTATTTTCATGACGTGGATGTCATCATCCCCAAGAAAAAAGCCTTGGAAATATGATTGTTAGGAAACATGAAGATATTGGATGTCTTTTGTAATGTGGAGTGATACAGATGTGCTGGTTGGACTAGTACGTGTTTCTCCATAAGCAATGCTCTACGAACTCCTCAGACCTCATTGCCAACTCCCTTGGGTTCAGTGAGGCTTTTGTGGGTCTCCCAGTAGATTGACGGTCTCCCCTCTTCGCTGGCACTTTGCTGCAGCAGTCGACTGCTCAGTGCCCCTCTTTTCTGCATTTGAAGCAAGCAGTGGAGCGGGGTGTTGCCGGTGATGTGTGGGCAGTTTCTCCTCTCAGGCTGCAGCTTGAAGCTCGTTCTCACCGGGCGGTGTTGGTGCTTGCATAGATCTATTTCCACCTCCTCTGCTAACAGACACCAATTGTACAGTCGCCCTGGTGCTCCGTGAGCCACACAAGCATTGTACAGATCTTCATTCAGTCCATCCTGGAAACAGCTTACCAGGATGTCCTCTGGCCAGTTTAAATGGCTGGCCAGCTCTCGGAACTCCTCCATGTATTCAGCTACTGGCCGTTGCCCCTGTTTCACCATTTTTATACGGTTGTGGGCTTTCCGGTCTGCCAGACGGTCTTCAAAGCGACGGCAGAGAGCTGCCATGAACAGATTAAAATTTCTTAATTCTGGCACATTGCAGTTGTACAGGGTCACTATCCAGTCAGTGTCAGTATCTTCCAATGCCAGAGTGACCACCCTTTCTCCCCATCCGTGGGTAGTGTTCTTCCATATATCTGCATGTAGGTGAATACCTGGGCAAGGAAGAACCCTAGTCTTTTGGGATTCCCATCGAATTTCACCCCCAACAGAATCGGCTTCACCTCCATGGGCTGGCGTGGTCCTTCTATGGGTCTTTGTGGAGGTTGCACTCGCTGTAGCCCTGCTGCAGGGGGGGTAGCCGCTGCCGCAGCAGACACTGCTGGCTCTTCTTCATCTGCTTCTTCTGCATCTTCCTCCGAGCCTGGGTACCCCTTCAGCTAGGCTTTTAACTCCTCGAAAGACTGTCTTACATACTCCATGGTTTGCTTTAATACTGCTTCCATCAGCTCTGATTTTAGCTCTGCTTTCTCCTTTTCGGGAGTGGTAGGCTCCAGATTCTTCTTTTTGGCTTTTTTCTTTCCTCCGCCTCGCGTGAGAGTTACTTTCTGAGCCTTCCCTTCCCAGTCCTCTTTCTTTCCGACCCCGAGCGACCACCTGGCTTGATCTACTTCTGCCGAGGGTCCAGCCTCCTCCAGGTCCCTGGAAGTGCCTTCCTTGTGGTCTGCCGGAGCGACGTCTTCACCCCAGGTCTCAATTTTGCCCTCTTCCATTCTGCTGCTAGGAAGGGACAAGTCAGTTGCGACCCACCTCGGTAGGGCAGCTGCCTCTCTGGGTTGGGCACTATGCAGATCTCGCCTTATGTAAGGACCTACCTCATCTAAGCCTCCCAAGAAAGCAGAACTCTTGAAACAGGCATTTTCTCAAAAGGAACTTTTATTAGGGGCTAGTGATATCAGGGAAAACAAGGCGAGATCTGGAGAAAAACCCACGCAAGCAGTATATTAAAAGCAATATTATTACTCCTCCCCCCAGGGTCCCAGGGTCCATTTGAATTCCAGCCAATCCACAGGTGGCATAGCGTTTTGGTAACTGGCTCCGTTGGTGCGCTCTTCAAGGTCTCTCTCGCTTTCGTTTCCTTCTGGCTCCAAGTGCCAACTGACTCCTAGATAAGGGAGATGCATTCCTTCTCCTGGGGGGAGGTCATTGGGGCAAGACAGTGCAAAGCATCCCCAAAGCATCCCCCCTCCCAACAGAATGGCAGGCCCCAAAAAACGGTTACAAAGGCAGGGACAAATATAAAGAGGGAAACAATACATTTCTTTTAGGGACCTGACAGACTGTCCAGTCTCTTTTTAAAAACCTCCAATGATGAAGCACCCACAACTTCTGACAGCAAGCTGTTCCACTGGTTACTTGTCCTCAGTGTTAGAAAGTTTCTCCTTAATTCCTGGTTGCTTCTCTCCTTGATTAGTTTCCATCCATTGTTTCTTGTCTTGCCTTCTGGTGCTTTGGAAAATAAGTTGACCCCCTCCTCTTTATGGCAACCTCTCAAATACTGGAATACTGCAATCATGTCACCCCTAGTACTTCTTTTCTCTAGACTAGCCAAACCCAAATCCTGCAACCATTCTTCATATGTTTTAGTCTCCAGGCCTTTAATCATCTTAGTTGCTGCTCTTTGCACTTTTTCCAAAGTCTCAACATCTTTTTTGTAATGTGACCAAAACGGTATGCAGTATTCCAGGTGTGGTCTTACTAAGCCTTTATAAAGTGGTACTAATACTTCATGTGATGTTGATTCTATCCCTCTGTTTATACAACCAAGGATTGTATTAGCTTTTTTGGCTGCTGCTGCATACTGCTGGC